GGTGGTCTAGGGAGTAGGGTGTGGAGAGTGGAGACGTTAAGAGCATGTGCATTATTTAATAATACTACAGTGATGCAGAGTGCAGTACAGGGAATTACGAAATCACATCATTCATTCTCTCACCAGCCAAAAAGTGCCCTAAATGGCATTGAATTTCATGCAGGCAGAGGAGGTAATAGACAAAGTTGTGAAGGAAGCAATAAGCAAGCCATGGCTGCCCTTGCCCCTAGGCCTCAAGCCTCCGTCAACTGACATTGTTATCTCGGAGCTCCACAGACAAGGCATCTCCACCATCCCTCCTTACAAAAACGCCAACAACTCTTGCTGAGTGCTTCTACTCCCTACTCCCCACGTTAACCACAAGGACTGAAGGACACAGCAGATGGATGACAAGTCTCTCGTCAGTCTCTGAACTCTGATCGACTGATCCTATCCATCGCGCCTGACAGGTGTACGTGCATGAAGGGTTTCTACGGCCTTAAATGGGCCACGTGTGTGGTTGGCAATGTAGAAGAAAGTTGTGGCTGTAAGTGGAGCATGTTTCAATGATGAGTAGGAGGATGTGTGGGGGCGTTGAATGAATCATGAATGTTGAACGTTGTGCCTTCGGAGTTTTCAGTGTCTTGCCGGGTGGGGTGGGGCCTGCTTATGCAATTGTGCGATCAAACGGATGGATCTGCGTAGATGCTGGATGTTGCTGTCGCTCTGACTGTACGATTGGGATACATGTGTTATCTGGGATGGGCCCACCAGTACCATGATGTGGACGAGACCGGTAGAGGCAGTTTTGAGTTTGCTGCTTCTGCTGCTATTATAGCAGCCTAGCTGGCTGTACCCATGTGTAAAAAAACGAGTTAAAAATAAAAGAAGTTACTACCGATTTTGGAATAATAGCCATTAATGTAGGGGTCGAGTCGGTTTAAGCCTTTTGGATCCGGAATCTATCCTATTAAGTTTGGTTTCGGGGTCAGTTCTAGCCGTAGTGGTTTTAGGTCGGTTCTATCCTATTAAGGTTTATATCTATGAAATTTGTTTTTTATAAATTTGATTTTTAATAAATATAATATAATATAATTTAAAATTTATATTATATTTATTGATTAAATTGAGTATCTTAATATATAAAATATTATTATATAGTTCAAAACTTATAATTTAAATTTAAATTTTGTAAACATTACATTTTATATTACTTATTATACACACTCAAATACTGAAATAAAAATAAATGATTTAAATAATTTAAGTAACTCAATGATCAATTGAGACTACCGCCTTTTGTAATTATGAGGTTTATTTTAAGATAAATTTGGTTCCAAAGTAGGTTCTACAGGCCAACCGAGGTTGGTTCGGGTAAGATAAACCCTTTAGGCTTTGCATATTAAATCCAAATTTCAATCAATCACATTAAAGTTCATTAACTTTTTATTGGTTCATTTTTTAGTTTAAGAAAAATTCTTAAACTATCCTACTGTTTAGTTAATTAACTAATTATATCCTTAATTTTTAATTATAATCTTGCACCACTCCTATAGTTTTTAATAATTGACATTATAGTTTTAATGGAAAAAATGAAATGTCAAATTATTCTCTATCTCTCCCTCTAATTCCGTCTCTGTCTCTGCCTCCAATTCTGTCTCCCAAGGTTTAGAAACTTACCTCTGACCGTCCATCTTTCTTCCCTCCCTACAGGTCTCCTCTTGTTCTCTATCTTCTCTTTTTCCTCCCTCTTCTTCCTCTCTTTCTTCTCATCAATTTCACTTGGAGATCATCGTCTACCTCTGTTGTCAGCCATGAAAGAAGCTACACAGTAGCTACATTCACTCGTACTCATCATCATTTTCTTTTTCTTTTTTTGGTTTTTGTAAAATATCTTTTTGGGCCCACTTTGGATTTCCACACCTGGAATGCATATCAGTGAGGGCTGTCAAAACCATAACATTGTTAGATGACAAGAGTGACAAATGGTGAACGGCTATATATAGTTATGGATCCAACGAGATGTATTGGCACAACCTAGCTCTTTCTGTTTGAAAACAAAACCGGTGCACATATGATGACATGAATCGGCAAGACGAAACTAAGAGGCGTTAGTTTGTGGGATTCATTGTTGTGGTCTGTGACTGTGACTATGAGCCTGTAAACTAATTCCGTGAGCATTGGGGGATGCCAATTTCCAACCACTTTGCCATTTGCCACAAGCATGAAAACATTACAACACACCACCAAGAATCCAAGACTAACAGTTCGTATAACACCACCCACCTCCACCAGAGAAAACAATCAACCCATTTAATATAATTTCAACGAAAAACATCTTATTTGGTAAGGTTAATTGATGTAACCGTTTCTGGTCACGTATCATTTTTTGGCTAAGTACCTCGTCACCTCGTCTGCTCCCAAGTGACCCATGACTCAGAGGCTGAAGTGGAGTTCCCTAGCRTAGCGTAGCCCAGATGCTCCCTACAAGAATTGATTTGGCTACCTGCAACGACGGGAACTGAACCAACTAGTCCCTGTTGGAGATGATCTGCTCATCTATGTAGGCGGCAGGAGCTGAGGAACCTACAAGAACTGAATTAGAGAGCCCAGGGGTGTATACCCGGCGAGGTCACTCCGATGGCTAAGTCAGTACTTAGTAGCGAGCTGAAGATGATATTAGAGAGTGAGAGATCTAGAGAGCAAGGGTTACCATCTATTTTTCTCGCCTCCCTTTGCCCCTGGGGGGTGAGGTCTTTATATACTGGAGTCCTCGTGGGTTTGGTGGAGCAGTTCCTGGATTCCTGCTGTGATGGGACCTGCTTTCGTGTTAGGTGGGCATAAGGCCACCAACCGGTAAGGTTGCTCATTTCCGCCTAAATCGGGGAGTAGGTGAGCTAATACAGCCGTTACAAATCACAATCCCATAAAACACGGGGTGCAGTGATGAGCTCCTCGGGGTTGTCATGCGGTGGCCAGTTTGACTAGGAGGCGAGCTGCCTGTGGAGTGCCGAGTTGTCTAAGTTGCCAGGTTACACGATGGTGAGCTGCCTGTGAAGTGTCGGGCTGCTTGTGAGGTGTCGGGCTGCCTRTGAGGTGACGGGCTGACCAGGTGCCGAGCTGCCTGTGAGGGGCGAGCTACCTGTGGCGAGCTGTCTAGTTGTCACGAGGCTGCACTTAATTGTTACGCGGTGCCAGGTGCCATGATGTCATTGGAGGGCCAAATCCGCCCTCATCATTTGCCCCCCACTCCCGAGTTGAAAGTAACTCGGCGAAGGGAGTAGATTTCTCCTTTTGGCCCGTAATTCGACAAGATCGTAAGCGCTGATTCAGTTTCTTAGGCTCTGGGAGCTGCTTGGAAGCGAGCTGCCCGTAAGGTGCCGAGGTCTCTGCTAGTTCGGTACTTTAGCCCTTAGGCTCTGGGAGCGACTTGTAGTCTACTCTCCTTGACTTTGCCCATGCCGACGAGGCGGTTGAGTCTTGTGCAATATTGTAGCCCTTAGGCTTTGGGAGCGACTCGTAGTCCACTCCTGGACTTTTCCCATGCCGAAGAGGCGACTGGGTCTTATGTAGTATTGTAGCCCTTAGGCTTTGGGAGCGACTCGTAGTCCACTCCTGGACTTTGCCCATGCCGAAGAGGCGACTGAGTCTTATGTAGTGCCGAGGTCTCTGCCTGTGAGGTGTCGAGCTGCCTAGGTGCCGAGATACCTGTGAGGTGTCGAGTTGCCTATGAGGTGCTGGGCTGACCAGGTGCCGAGCTGCCTGTGAGGTCCAAGGTTGACTAGGTGCAGGGCTGCCTGTGAGGCGCCGGGCTGACCAGGTGCTGAGTTGGATTGATGAGCTTCATTGCTCTTTAGAGACTTGCAAGGAACTAAATGTCAGAGGACCCGAGGTGGATAACCCGGTGAGGTCACTCTGATGGCTAAGTCAGTACTCTCATAGTAGACTACGAGCTAAAAATCACAGTCTGAGAGCTAGAACTTGCTTACTTGCTTCGGGGGTTGGTGCCTTTATACAGGCATTGTTTGGCGTGGGCTTCACGCACCATATCCGAGATTTCCGCGAGGTCGTCTAAGTGGTTCGAGATTCCTAGAGGTAACCGCCATGCACATTGACCACCCTCCAGATCGCTCAGCACGAGGGCCAACTTCCAAGGATCGTGGGAGTGTTTGGATATGCATTCCGAATTCGTCGGCGAGAACATCTTGCAAGTCGCCAGGTCGGCGCATGTGCCAGGTCGCGCCTGGGCCAGGTTGCGCTAGAGCCAGGCCGCCGGGTGGGCGCCTTAGAGCTATGACTGCGCTGCACCAGCCTCGTGATGCCAGTCACCCACTCCTACAAGGAGCTACTAGGAACTCAACCTTCGGGGGCAGTACCACTAACTTTAGGTCGCCAGCTCGCACGGGAGCCTTGGAAGGCTCAACTAGCAAGGGCGCCATGTAGTCTGTTGGCCGCCAACTCTCGCGGAAGCCACGAAGAGCTCGTCTTTGTAGAGGGGACCTCGCGAAGAGGATTGGTGAGGTTTTATTTGAATTGAAAGTAAAGTTGGTAGAGATGCTTAGTCTATTAGCTCCCTTTACAGTCTTTGAGTTCATAAAAAAAAAGGAAAATATAAAGCGAGAGATTCAATTTCTAAAAAGTGAGGGCTTAGATTTCTGGGAGAAGAGGACTTAGCTTTTTGTAGGATGAGAACTTAGCTTTTGGTAGGATGAGAACTTGGATTTTTGTAGCTTGTTCCCACAGACGACGCCAATTGATGTAACCGTTTCTAGTCACGTATCATTTTTTGGCTAAGTACCTCGTCACCTCGTCTGCTCCCAAGTGGCCGATGACTCAGAGGCTGAAGTGGAGTTCCCTAGCATAGCGCAGCCCAGATGCTCCCTGCAGGAACTGATCTGGCTACCAGCAATGACGGGAACTCAACCGGCTAGTCCCTGTTTGAGATGATCTGCTCATCTTTGTAGGCAGCGGGAGCTGAGGAACCTACAAGAACTAAATCAAAGAGCCCGGGGGTGTATACCCGACGAGGTCACTCCGATGGCTAAGTCAACACTTAGTAGCGAGCTGAAAATGATATTAGAGAGTGAGAGAGCTAGAGAGCAAGGGTTACCATCCATTTTTCTCGCCTCCCTTTGCCCCTGGGGGGTGAGATCTTTATATACTGGAGTCCTCGTGGGTTTGGTGGAGCAGTTCCTGGGTTCCTGCTGTAATGGGACCTGCTTTTGTGTTAAGTGGGCATAAGGCCACCAACCGATAAGGTTGCCCATTTCCGCCTAAATCGGGGAGTGGGTGAGCTAATACAACCRTTACAAGTCATAATCCCGTAAAACGCGGGGTGCGGTGATGAGCTCCTCGGGGTTGTCATGCAGTGGTCGGTCTGACTAGGAGGTGAGCTGCTTGTGCAGTGCCGAGTTGTCTAAGTTTTCAGGTTACACGATGGTGAGTTGCCTGTGAAGTGTCGAGCTGACCAGGTGTTGGGCTGCCTGTGAGGTGCCGGGATGACCAGGTTCCGAGCTGCCTGTGAGGGGCAAGCTGCCTGTGGCGAGCTGTCTAGTTGTCACGAGGCTGCACTTAGTTGTTACACGGTGCTAGGTGCCATGATGTCATTGGAGGGCCAAATCCGCCCTCATCACTAATCATGCAAAGATTTTGTCCTAGGTCTAGGTGGAGCTGCATATCCGTCACCTGGGCGTCTCTAGCCTTGGCCCGTTCGTCGGTATCAATCGCAGAAACCGCTCACTCTTTGCAAAGATAAAACCCACCAAGTTTGTCTTAATGTCTCCCTCTCCCTCACAATCTCCCTTTATCCTAGCCCTACGCCTATTTATTAAAGCGAAACAGGGGTTTCACCAAGGTTAAAAGTATCGGAAACGCTAAGTGTATTGGAAAGACAATTATAATTCTTCATTAAATTAATATAAGACCTCA